CTCTATTTTGCCGGCAGATATAGTAATCAGAAACTTGTTCATTAGTTTCTCGATTTCAATCCTAGCTTCAGTGGAATTTGCATCATGTGAATCTAATAAACTTGCTACATAGTTCTTGTCCAGCGACCTGAAGCAAGCTATGTCAAGAAGTGTATCTTGTTGTTGCTGACTAAGACCATCATAGCACTCTTTCCAAACACTTTGAAGCATCTCACTAGAGCTCTGTGCTCGTATCTTTCTAGAGCTTCTTGCTCGACCTTTATGGTGCTGACTCAGAGAATCCAATTTTGAATTCCAGAGAGACTCGTCTTTCCCCAGAAGCTCAGCACCCAATACCTTTAGAGCTAGTGGATTTCCTTTGGTGTAATGCACGAAATCTATCGACAGCTTCAAGAAACTCTGAGCATTGCTTTGATCACCAATGGCATAATGGGTAAATTGTTGTAAACTGTCTTTATAGCTTAATTGAGGGACTTGGTAAATATCATCGACCAAATCATGTATCAGGGACGTATCACCTGTTGCAATGACGATCTTGCTCCCCTGTTTAATCCAATCACATTTGCCGAGTATAGCAGCAATTTGTTCCTTGTTACTAACATGGTCGAGTATAACAAGTGATTTGGTTTTGAGTAGTTGATCCTTGTAACCTTCATGAGCAGCCTGGACGGTCTCAAACATGGGATTCTTGACTTTGAGTAAATCTTCCAAGAGTATTGTGGGCAAGTAACTCAAGCCTTGTTCCCTTGAAGTTTCATGGATATCTAGGATTAACACGTGGCTCAAGAATTCGTTCTTGAGTTTCTCGTATAACTTCTTGACCAGAGTAGTTTTACCAATGCCAGGCATCCCAACAACCCCAATGATACGAGTTGTGTCCTCAAACCCGAAGCTTAACTTTTCTTCAAGTTGCTTTAGACGTAAGTCAACTCCACACGAACTCTCAAGTTTTTTCTGGTGTACTGTCGAGGAAAGAACAGTACCTTCTAGGCGATTAGGAGGTGCCCGTGAAATGATATTCAACGCTTTCTTAACTTCCTTGACAACTTTGAAGATGAGATCGTCCTCGTCGCTAGTGAGATATGATGTGATTCTAATTATTGCTATAACTTTAGTAATTTTTGGTATCGTAAAGAGTTAACAAATTAATGTGTTACCTATTCTCGTTTAACACGAAACCCGTTAAGAGAGGAATAGACTTTAAAGCTTCTGTCCAGTTGTTCTTGGTCTCCTCATCAATAAACTCAACAAGATCCCTGAAATTGTCACCGAACTCGCCTTTCTGTCTTTTAACAGTGGAAGGCTCAACCTTGTAAAAGATTGGAATCACCACGAGCTTGCCTTGCTCCCTGCATTCCTTCATTTTAGCCAGCTCCTTCAGACACCAGTCTGACTCTGTGTACCTCGGGGAGAATATTGCTAGCGCAATCTTCGAACCTTCGATTCTTTTGAGCAGAATATTCAATTCTTGGCCCATATCTTCATCTGTGTCTATAAAGGCATTGATTCCATTTCTTTTTAAGCCCTTCTTGAGATGACTCACAAAGTTGTACCGCAGTTCCACTCCCCGGAAGTTAATGAACACTTGGTCTTGGGATGGCTTACCGGAGCTTGCCATGGAAGGCTCTCTCTCGATCTCTCTGGTTTTAGTTTTCTCAAGATTGGAAAGTGTAAATATAGTCAGTCAACCCAACTCCTCTTACACTACACAAAAAGGATATATCTCAGTTGATTTTTTCTACAACAAAATAAATATTTTCTCTAATTGAAATGTACATCTTTGACGAAAATGAGTTGGTGGCCTGGTGGGTCTATATCATCAACATTTTAGAAAGAGCAAGGCAATAATTTTTTTTTATTTTTTTTTTGTCCCCTGAAATTTTAATATTGAAACTTGTTGTGAAACCAAACTACAACACAAGGTCCAAACAAGGAAAACTGAGCCGACGGATGAAAAAAAAGTCCTCCGAAACAAAACCGGAGGAAGACGTGAATTTCTCGGAGTCAAAGCCCTATGCAAAAGAAACAACCACTAAAATTACAAAGCAGAAATTTTAAAGCCAAATTTGAAAGAAATCGAAACCTATTACTAAGAACAGAGGCAAAGAACCAACAATAATTCAGTTGATTTTTTCTACACATGCTTTTTTTTTTTTTTTGGTAACCTTCTACACACATGCTTTAGCAACTCATTCTCCATAAAGCATATCCACATATTATCCCTATATTATCTTCTTCTCTTTGTAAACATCTATTTTTCCTCGCCTTCATTTTTGGTCATTGCGAATTCTTTAAGAACACATTATTCAAGTTCACGATCATATTAAAAATATATTTCCTCCGTCCCACAAAGTTGGATTTTTTGGGAAAAAAAATTATCCCACATATATAGAAGTCTTGTGTTTTTAATGTAAAATTTAAAACAGTTTTATTATTTTACCCTTATTAAATAACAATAAATAATAATATACTCTTTAAAATGTGGTATAATGTTAAAATTTTAAAATTGTCATTATACATTATCTTTTAAAAAATGTGAAATTTTTACAAAATTTATATTCGTGGGACAAAGGAGTATATATAAATTTTTTTTGGGCAAACAGGAGTATATATAATTTGAATTTCTAAAAAGCCCACGGCAAGCATGAAGATTATTTTACTTTATTTTTCCAAAGTCTTGAAGAATTTTTTTTGATATTGGCAAAACTGTAGTTGACTGAGCACTTCTAATGGTAGTGTCTCCATGAGACATTCATAATAAAAATAAATCAAAAATAAATAAAAATTAATTTTTTAATCAAAAAAGGTGAGACATTTTGAGACACGTTTCTCATTTGAGACATTGTGAGAAACTCTTTCTCTCATACACATGTCACTTCTACATTGGTTTAGCAATTTATTTTTAAATTCAATTACTCTAAGATTTATAATATCAATTAAATAGTTTATAAATTTTTATTTTTTATTTTTTATTTTTCTACAATTCATAAAATAAAATTATCTATATATCAAGCTCCATTATACAAAAGTTTAAATTTTTATTATTATTATTATTTTTGATTGATATTAGTTAAGGTTAATATAAATATAAATTAATATTTTTAGTTAATAAAATACTATAATATTAGAAAATAAATCTGAGATAAATAATCTGATATTTTGTCAATATTTTGATATTTTGATAAATAATGTGCTATCTTTTGTCATTATTTACAAAATGTCCAATATAATTAAAAGATGTAGAGCGTGCATTTGGAGTGTTACAGGCGCGATTTGCAATTATTAAAAATCCAGCTCTTTTTTGGAATAAAAGAAAAATAGGAAAGATAATGAGAGCTTGCATCATATTGTGTAATATGATAGTCGAAGATGAACGAGACAAATACACTCAATATAATGTCTCCCAATTCTATCAAAGAGAAGAAAATGAGAGTGCACAAGTGGATTTTACATATTCTACAACTATGCCTACTAATTTGGGCAACATTCTCGGCAATTGAATTCGAGTTCGTGATAGAGATATACACCAACAACTAAAAGCCGACTTAGTTGAGCATATATGGCAAAAGTTTGGCGCATCAAGTGAAAAGTAAAACATATATTATCTATTTTGGTTTTGTATGTTTTTATTGCATTTTAATTTATGTTATCATGGTTTTATATGTAATTTTGTGTTTAATTTATATATCTTTATTATGGTTTTATATGTTGTTTAAAATTCAATTTATGTTTAATTGTGGTTTTAAAAATAATAGCCTCTTTAATATATTATTTATAATGAATAGTACTATTAATTAATGTTTTTAAAAGCATTAATATTCATTATATTATTTATTTCTATAGAAAATATAATTATTTTATTTGAATGACTGTATTTAAGATATAATTTGATATGTTTAAAAATATTATTAAAAAAATAAATTTAATATAAAAATAGTATTATATTGATGAGACATCCATAAAGATATCTCACTAATGGAAGTAGAATTTTAGTGTGAGTTTCTTTAAATAAATTAAACATAAAAATATTAATATTATATTGGTGAGACACTCATTAGAGCATCGCCAATGAGGCTTTAATGTTACCAAGTCAATTGCTGCAAAAAAAAAAAAAAAAAAAAAAAAAAAGAAATCAAATAATCAATCTCTAATTCATAAAATGGTAATATTACTAACTAGCCAAATTTGACACATAAATTAAGAAACTAGCAGAGAGAGAAAATTATGTCGGAAAACAGCATGGACCCACCTTGTCTGAAGAGGTGAAATAACAAAACCATCCTCCGTTTGTTTTGAGATCTACAGTAGGCGACATTGTTTCGTGATATTTTTCAAAATAGCACGTAAGATCTAAATTTCACATGTTATATTTAACTAAAATACATGCTATTTAAAAAAACGTAGTGAATTTTTAAGAAAAAACATTGTTACGTAGTGTTTTTTTTTTAAAAAACATTGTTACGGAAAAATTAAACTTGAATAGATTCTTTTTATAAAGAAATAACATGTGATCTTAATAAAAACCGTGAATTACTAGAAAATAAGAATCGTTTTTTAAAGAAATTACATGTGATCATAATAAAAAACGTGTATTACTACAAAATAACATGATAGCGAAAGATATTAAACTGAATAGAGTGTTTTTTCAAAGAAATAACATGTGATCTTAATAAAAACCGTGAATTACTAGAAAATAATAATATTTTTTTTAAAGAAAATCACATGTGATCATAATAAAAAACGTCTATTACTATAAAATAACATGATAGAGAAAGATATTAAACTGAATAGAGTGTTTTTTCAAAAAATATCATGTGCTCTTTATAAATAACGTGTAAAACCAGAAAATAATATGATAAAAAGATATATATTATTCTATTACATGTAATTCAAGAAAAAAACATGTTATAAAGGGCATGTGTGTAATTACACGTGCTTTCCGACATCCAACACACAAAGTAAAGGCTATTTTCTTAATTCTTTTTCTCTTCATAAGGAAGTCGTTATTGATCAAAATTAGGGGTTTCGTGTAATCGGGAGAATCGACAGAGATTGGTTTTATGAATCCACCAAATACTTGTGTCTCGTAGGCTCGCGAATCACGATCATGGTGGATTTCGAGAAGAGCAGTCACAGCGTCAACATCATCTGTGAGGAGACAGTACGGCGCTCCTTCGTCAGCCACCTCTCCTCCGCTTTACACCGCGAAGGCATCTCTGTATGTGTGTTTGCTGATACAGATTTCGATGATCAGAATCAGGGAGCTAGGGTTACGGTGGTGGTTTTCTCCGAGAACTACGCCTTCCCCCATCCTATGCTTGACAATTTCGCCAAAATTCTCCAGCTTCGAAGCAACAGCGGCCACGAGGTGATTCCAGTGTTTTACGGTGTTGATCCATCGGCTGTGAACCCAAATCACGACTGGCTGCCATTGCACATGGAAGGACACCAATCGATGTAATTATACTTTCAACCTTGTTGGATACATATATTTAGGATTCAGTTCATTGAAGCTTTATAAAGAAAGAGACTTTATAAATTCTTAATTTCCTCTTGAATCTTGAATTGGGGAAGTGGGTCTGCTTTTTTCTCTTTTGTTTGGTAGGAACTCAAGTAATGTCAGAAGCAGCGACTCCCAACTCGTGGAAGATATCGTCAGGGATGTTTATGGGAAGATATGTCCTACAGAACGAATTGGAATTTACACGAGGCTAATGGAGATTGAAAACCTGCTTTGCGAGCAATCTTGGGATGTCCGAAGATTAGGACTCTGGGGCATGCCTGGCATAGGCAAGACGACACTTGCTAAAGCAGTATTTGACCACATGTCCAATGACTATGACGCTTCTTGCTTTATCGAGAACTTTGATGAACAACTTCGTATGGTGGGACCTTACCGTTTGCTTGAAGAGAAAATCGGTAGAATTCTGGAAGAAAAGTTTGGCATAAGCAGTTCTTACATTACAAGACTGAGCCTCCTAAGGGACAAGCTATGCGATACAAGGATTGTTGTTGTTCTAGATGATGTGCGCAATCCTCTCGCTGCAGAGTCCTTCCTTGGAAGGCTTGATTGGTTTGGTCCTGGAAGCCTGATAATCATAACCTCCAGATATAAACAAGTGTTTGCACTTTGTCAGATCAGTCAAATATACGAAGTTCATGGTTTAAACAAGCATGAGGCTCTAAAGCTATTCTCTCAAAATGCCTTTGAAAAAGATGTGCCAGAGCAGAATGACAAGGAACTGTCAATGAAGGTAATTGACTATGCTAATGGAAATCCGTTGGCCCTCTGCATTTATGGCCGAGAGCTGAAGGGGAAGAAGTCAGAAATGGAGGCTGCATTTCTCAGGCTCCAGCAATGCCCTCCAAAAAAGATTCAGGATAGGCTAAAGAGCGTTTATAGTGCACTTAGTGACAATGAGACGTACACCTTCTTGAACATTGCTTGTTTCTTCAAGGGAGAAAATGTTGACTATATGGTGCAACTGCTTAAGTGGTGTGGTTACTTTCCACGGGTTGGAATAGATGTTCTTGTGGAGAAGTGTCTGGTGACTATTTCAGAAAACACATTGCAAATGTATGACATGATCCAAGACATGATCCGAGATATCATCACTGGAGAAAAGATACAGATGGAGAGGTGCACGACGTTGTGGCATACTTCCCACATCAGATATCTACTAGAAGATGATGAACTCAAAGCAGATGGAGACCCCAAAGAAATTCCTAAATGTCTTATGGTCTGTTTAATTCTGCTATATTAATACATAACTTAGTCTTTGAAGATGAGCCCAACTTCTTGATCTATCGTCTTCCCTTGTTCTTACAGGTTGCTGAAGACATTGAAGGCATATGTTTGGACACATCAAACTTGATATTTGATGTCAATCCTGACGCCTTCAAGAAGATGGTCAGTCTTAGATTCTTGAAGATATACAACTCCTACTCTGAAAATGTTCCTGGACTCAACTTTCCCAATGGCCTCAATTATCTTCCTCGTGAGCTAAGGCTCCTCCACTGGGAGAAATATCCCTTCGAATCCTTGCCTCAAGGTTTTGACCTCCAGGAACTTGTCGAACTCAATATGCCTTATAGTGAGCTTAAGAAACTCTGGGAAACAAACAAGGTAGGCAATCTATCCATCTTTCACCCGCTTAATACATTACAGTTCTGTTATTAATTTTATTTTTTGTTCAGAACCTTGAGATGTTGAAGAGGATCAAGCTTTGTCATTCCCGGCAGCTAGTTAAATTTAGTATACATGCTCAAAATATCGAGCTGATTAATCTCCAAGGTTGTACAAGATTGGAGAATTTTTCAGGCACTACGAAGTTACAGCATCTCCGAGTTTTAAATCTCTCAGGTTGCAGCAACATTACAATTTTCCCAGGGCTTCCACCAAATATTGAGGAGTTATACCTCCAGGGAACTAGCATAGAAGAGATACCAATATCCATTCTCGCCCGCTCTTCCCAACCAAACTGCGAAGAGCTTATGAATCATATGAAACACTTCCCTGGTCTTGAGCATATCGATTTGGAAAGTGTAACAAATCTTATTAAAGGTAGCTCATATAGTCAAGGTGTTTGCAAGCTTGTCCTCCTGAATATGAAAGATTGTCTTCAGTTGCGAAGTCTGCCTGACATGTCCGATTTAGAATCTCTCCAAGTTCTTGATCTGTCTGGCTGCTCTCGCCTTGAGGAAATTAAGTGTTTCCCAAGAAATACGAAAGAGCTATATCTTGCTGGAACAAGCATACGAGAATTGCCAGAGTTTCCTGAAAGTCTAGAAGTCTTGAATGCTCATGATTGTGGCCTTCTGAAGTCAGTTCGTTTGGACTTTGAGCAGCTTCCTCGACACTACACGTTCAGCAATTGCTTTAGATTGTCTTTAGAAAGGACCGTTGAATTTATAGAGAAAGGTCTGACTAGGGTAATTAGGTTAGACAGAGAACAAAATCAGGTATTTCTCTCATTCTCTTGTCACATAAGCATACTGTCACATACATGTATTGCTTATCTTATTGGATATGGCCTTGATGAAACAGGAACACGTTAAAGCACCGGCATTCAACGTATGTTTTCCTGCAGATGCGTGCCCGTGGTACTCATTTCAGTGGCAAGAAAGCCATTTTGTTAGAGTAACGCTTGCTCCTTGCATGCGAAAGGCTCTGTCAGGGTTTGCTATGTCAGTTTTAGTATCATTTCGGGATGATTACCACAATGCCGTAGGTTTAGGCATTAGGTGCATATGCAGATGGAAGACCAAGAAAGGCAACTTTGATCAAATTGAGAGAGTTTATAAGTGTTGGGCTCCGAGAGAAGCTCCAGGAGTTCAAAAGGATCACATATTTGTCTTGTATGATGCCAAAATGCAAGTAGGTCCTGATGAAGGAATGGATCAAATCATGTCATCTGATGTACTCGTATTCGAATTCCACACAGTAAGTGGGGAAAACAAGCCTTTGGGTGCTAATTGCGCGGTGACAGAATGTGATGTCAAGGTAATTATGGATTCAACAGGTGATACAAAATTTAGTGCAGTTTCAAGAGCAAGTGAGGATATAAGTAATATTGAGGAGCTTCCTCCTCCTTTACCGAAAAAGCCAGAGGCAACTATTTGTTCTCCTCCATTCAGCAATCCACATGAGCTTTTTAATGTGGCTAGCAAGGTAAAGTCTGAAGGCAGTAGTATCCTTTCGAGGTGGGATAGCAAGGTAAAATCAATTTATAAGCTTTTTATTTTGATCAAAAAAAAAACAAAGCTTTTAATTTGAGCATGTTTTTGTTGGAGGCACGATGAGTGGTTCAAGTCTCCCACGTATAGGGTATATATGTACTGTTTTATGCTCTACGATAGAGCATCTGTTGTTAATGTAAAACCAACTTTTTGAGTGGTGTAGATGTGAGGATACATAGATAAAGAAAAGAAAATTTGAGAGAAGTTTCTTGGAAACTCGGGTGTTATCAGAGTAAGTTGCACAGAGAACTAACTCATATTGGCAATGGTCATGTTACTTCCTGTATGTAATATTATTCTCTGCAGAGAATAAGTTGAGGAGGATACATTTGACCTGACCAACAATTTTCTTGTTGTGTGAGAGAGAGAGAGAGGTATGTATGCAAAATAAAGACACGAATACGAAGATTTCAATAAATAAAGTTTGGGTGCCTATTTTAATACAAAATTAAAAAGAATGGAATTAAAACCAGTTTTTTTGGGAATAATGGGAAATACTTCACCTAGGATGTTAGTTGCCAGAACTTTCAATGTAGGTCTGCCATTGGCCCTTTGGATATTCATCACCTTTTGCTTGATCCTTGAAACAACCATTAGCGTTATTTTTTGTTTTACCTTTGACTTCGTTATTACTTGGGATTGGAACTTTGTTCTCCTCAAGTTCAAACACAAAACTGAAACCGGATTTCAAAACTTCAAACCTAGCTTCCCCACCAGTACCAGTTGTCACACTAAACTCCAGTGATGCCTTGGTCGGAGCACATTTACGAGGACCTTGGCCTTCAACAATCTTTATGAAATCTAAGCAGTTGGTGTAGCCAATAAAGACATGATCTGACTCAACTGTTTCTTCTTGGTTGTCTTGTTCAATCAAAGTTCCAACCTTCCAAGTAATGCTGGTGCAAGAGCTCTCTCCATTTTTTGGCTCACAAGAGAACTTGACTGTCAAGTTGGCATGATTTTGACAGTTTTGGAATGAGACAACAACACAAAGGGCTATCCCAGAAAGCCTATTGTGATTCCAGTGAGGAGGTAATTCGAACTCCACCATAGATCCAATTGCGTCGTGAGAAAACCATGAAGGCATTTCACATCCAGGAAAGCTAGTGCAGAACAAAATCTCAGGAACACAACTCTGCAAAGTTATACAAAGGGGAAATACCATTAACCCCGGTTCCACTACACAAAAGGAAATTCTCAAGGGAGAGAAAGAGAGATACCTCATCGCATCCTTTTAGCGCACTAGAAAGCTAATGACACTTCCTTTCAGCATATGCTACAATTTCCTCCTTTGCAGCTTGTTCCAATTCATTGCAGTTAGTAAAAATGAACGTGGAACTGATATGCTTCATCGGTATAGAACATACCAGTGGTTTTGCAACTGTCTTCAGTGAGCAACAACCATGTACGTTTAAACACTGAAGATTTGGTGGAAGCTGAGGAACATGTGTAAGATTCTTACAATACTTCAAATCAAGCCATTGAAGTTGAGAAAATTTATTGATGAGATCTGGAAGGTGGCTGATCTTTTCATTCTTGCTTAAGCATAAACGACGCACTGAGAGTATCATCCAGAAGGAAAATCTCTAAGCGGCTCATGTTTCCCCAAGTTTCTGGAAACTCATTGAGCTTTGAACAACCAGAGAGAATAAGTCCTTCAAGAGCTTTCTTGCAGCCTTTCATGTTCAACAGAACAAGTCTTTGGAGGATCCCAATGTCACAAGGAAGTTCCTTTATTGCAGTGCCATACAAGTATAGAGCTTCCAGCTTATCTGAAAGGTTTTAAATTTTGAGCAGTCACTGAGGAGGAGAGTTTTAAAAGAGATCAATTTGATCTTTAAAAGAGACTCGAGACTTGTGCATCTTCTCAGGTTCAAGGAAACAAGACACATATCGACCATGCAACTCTTTCAATGCCGTGCAACCTTCAAGATTTAATTCTTGAAGATTTTGAGCCTTTCCTAACCCCGCCTAAGTGTTCAACAAGTTGATCCATTTTAGTTGATTATACAAAGAAAAAAAGAAATAATCAATTGAACACTTTGGCGGAAAAAAGAGGAAAAATAAAAATAATCAATTGATTATACAAAGAAGAGTCGAACAACACCTTTAGAAACTAGTCAGGTAGATTTAAACTTAATCAACGGCATGCATTGGAGTATCTCTATACTATTAAAAGAGAAGTACAAATGAAAATGGGTCGGGTTAAAATCAGAAAATTGACCCGAAATTCTGAAATCGGATCTTTGAAATTTTTTTGGAATATAAATTCGAATTAATAATGAAAAATCGAAATAAAATCAAATATTTATGGAAATAAAATAAAATCTGATTGTACTTATGATAACTAATAATAAAAGCATATTCCGAACAATGTTATACATTAATTACGTATAATAAATTTGTTCATATATTTTTGGGACTAATTCCATAACAATCAATATTTTTGTCATTAATTTCGCTCATTTTAGCCAATTATCAAATTGAAAGATATTTTATTTGCTTCTAAAGATTTCTAGAAAATTTATCACAAATAACACATCTGTTTTATAAATTAAATTGATATTTTTATTTTGGTCGTGTAAATTAAATAGATATTTTTATTTTGGTTGTGTAAATTAAATAGATATGAAATCCATTTAACTAATTTTAATTTAATTAGATTAAATCGAAATTATGATATTTTCATACCTATAGCTTACCAAAAAAGTTTAATTTTCAATTTATAAAGATTTTTTGAATATGATTTTAGAATTATTCAACAAGATGATAAGTATTTATTAAATTTTGTGAATCATGAAAAATAATAATTAATTTTTAATCATTATACTTCATCTTTCAATCTCTCATCTAACAAATAAGATACATATTCTATTATTACTATGTCCAAACTTCATTTTGTTGTATGACTAAATAATATTCCCATTAGAACTGTCAAAGCGAGTTGATTCGTCCCGTTGAGTCCGTTTTGCGATAGACAAAAAATATTTTCACTTGTGTTAGTCGGTCCGCACGACCCGCGGGTAGCATATATGAAATACAAACCCGTCCCACGAATGTATGCGGATTTGCGGGATTGTCCATGGATTTTGTTTAAATAATTTTAAAGTAACCAAAATTTAAAATACTACTAAAATAAATAAATAAATAAAAATACAATTAAAAGTTTGTTTAAATTATCACATGTTGAATAAATTATAATTTTATCAATAAATACTAATATGCGGGCTGATCCGCCAACCCGCGGATGAAAACCGATTAAACTTATGACCCACTGCGAATTAATCCATGTGGCCCGCTTATTTGCGGGTTTAATATATTTTCCCAAATCTGCCCCATAGTGAGATGATGTGGGCTCGACCCGCGGTTTTTGACCTATTTTGACTGCTCTAATTCCCATGAATCGTCTAATTTTAGAATTTTAAAACACAAAATTCTATTTTGTAAATCATAATTAATATGATGGGTATATTTATAAACAATTTTACATTTTCTCTACAATTCGTTATTATGAATATTTATAAGTATACTACACAATTCGTTCTACTAAAAAACACACATAATATTAAACGCAAAGTATGTAAACCAATATTCTCCCGCGGTGGACCACGGGTCCGATCCTAGTTGGACCAAGAAAACAGAAAGCAACTAGGGTATTACACACCTTGTTATCTTCCCATTCGATTTTGAAACAAGTAAAAGCATTTTTACACACTAACTAGATTTTAACCCGCGGTACACCGCGGGATGATTTAATTTTAAAGTTAGTATAAAAATATTTTGTAAATTGTATCTCCTTATAACATATTTATTTATATTATAGTTTACAATTGTTATTAAGTAACGGTATACCACGAGTCCACGAGATAATTATTAATAAACTGAGAATTTAACCCGTATTAAAGCGGTATATAAATATTGATTCAAATTCGTCCGCCATAAAATCATTTCCGAAATATAACCCGTTCCGTAATTTCTTAACCCGTTCTATGATTTGTATTAAAAAAATAAGGATTAAATCCGTATTGAAGCGACGGATTAATGATATTTTAATCTTTTTATTATTGTTGATTCAAAAACCCGTCCCGCCAAACCCATCCCGCCAAAAAACTCATTTATTTTATTAATGTTCTTATTTATGATATGATTCTGAATCATTGTCTAAATATTTTAATCGATGTAGAACGTTGAACACACATTTTCGTCATTTGGATAATATATATCCATTTTTAAAATTTCGAATCACAGTATATGCAGAAAAAAAATTGATTTTTTTTTTTACTTTATGTATTATATGATGATTCAAAACAGTTAAAAACAAATCAAACAAAGATGATAGGAGAATCATAATTATAAATCTTAATCAAATCTTCTAAAAATCTAAATTATTAAATATGGAATATCCGGTGTATGAGTTGGGCTAAATATAACCCGACCCAACAAATTTTTTGTAAATGAATTTTTAAAATGGATCGGATATCCGATATATCCGAAAGCTTTTTTACCCGATTATACTAGTATAGATAAAAATAACAGCGATTTAAATTGAAGGGCCGAATAAACCAAATATTCCACAGGCCCATGAAAGCCCACTAGAAATTACTGTGATATTATTATTATGAGATTTTCGCGTGGCTTATTGTTCCGGCTTCACGAGCTCACCCGTCTTCTGCTCCTCCGTCCGGCCACAGTTTCTTAGGGTTTCTTTCGCATTGTTTCTCCGAATTGCAACCCCCTCATTCTCCACAATGTAATTTCGTTTATTTTATCCTTCAATTTCTTTTGGATTTTGTTAATTTATGTGTTTCCTTGTTCTCTCTTACAGAATCATCGAGTTTCGTGTTTTAGGTTTTATCCGATTCTGATTTGTATACCTGTGTCGTCTTCGTTTGTTAATTTGTGCTGTGATTTAGCTTCCTAACTCTGTGGATCCAAGCTTTGAGAAATAAATCAGATTTGATAGAGATCGATCGATCCCTTTTTCGCCTTTGATTTGGGATGTATCTTTTTTCTTTTCCGGGTGGAATACTAATGATGCAAAGCTGAATCTAATCCCTGTATTATTTTTATGTTTCAGAAACAGATAGCTAATAAAATTGAGTCTGGTTACTCGCAAGTGCAAATATGTCGGTCACAGCTGGAGTGAGTGATGCTGCAATTGCTGTAAGGGCAAAGCTACAAGGTGGTATTGGACAGACTAGAGTGAGAAGGTATTG